ATTTCAAGATTTTAAATATTTATTCGGGAATCTTGGCACGCAGCACGATGTTGACCTGAATAAATATTTAAAATGGCCTTAGTATGACGGGGGGATTTTGAAATCCATTCTTGCTACACGAGAATTTCAAAATAAAAATGTATTACATATAAACGTGTATGAAATACATAGCATTTTCTTGGGCAATTTTATGCGTGGTATTTCTTTAGATATTGATCGTTGATTGGCGGCATAGGTCTCTAACCCTCCAGGTCGAATAACTGATAAGCTCCTCCTTGAAACACCTTCTCAATAACAAAGGGGCCCTCCCAATTGGATACAAATTTGCCACCATTTTTTTGAGGGATGATTGGTTTCCTCAGCACCATGAACATAATACTCGATCTTTTGATGTATTAGCTTATCAAATATACGTATCATTACCCATTAATAGGTGGCACTAATGTTCTTTAGGCCGAAAGGCATGATTGTGTAGTAAAATATGTCTATAAGTGTTCTGAATAATATATGATTTTCATCTTCAATCGCCATCTTGATTTGATTGTATCCTGACAATCCTTTCGTGAAGGAGAACTTATTATAGTTGAAAGTAATATCAATTAGAAGTTCTGATACCAGGAGCAGAAAATCATCTTTTCGGTACGCCTTATTGAGGTCCCAAATATCGATACATATACGAATCTGACCATTCTTCTTCTTCACCTGGATAATATTGGCGATCCACCCAGCATATTTTTCTTCCCAAATGAAGCCTGCCTCTATGAGCTTCTTTGGCTTTGCAATCACCTTTTCTTCAATCTCTAATATCATTCTCCTTGAAGCTTGCTTGATAGCTGCGGCATCTGGCTTGATGACTAATATGTGAATCGCCACATCAGGGGATAAGCTAGACATCTCAGCGTATGTCCAGGCAAAGCAATCCCTAAATTCACAGAGAATCCCTTTCATTTCCTCTGCTTGCACTTTGATAAGAACGTCACTGATGAAGTCGGACGATGATCTTCTTTAGCCTGAGAGGTTATATTTAAAAAGTAATGGGATTTCTTGAAGGATTCTTCAAGGTGTCGACCATCGAGAGCATTATTGTAGGGGCCACCTTTGGGACCTACTTTTGATTAATTTCTTTAATGGCAGATCTCTAGGGGTACATACTAGATGTTACACCATTCTTTTGAATATAGTTTACTAGAGAAATAGATATCCATTGTTTTATTTTATGTCGGGACCTTTTGTATAAGTGTCACACCCCGATGCTCACCGTACATATCTTGATTCTTTATTTGCTTCATCATCATCATAGATGGATGCTTTACCTCTATTGGGACTTTTATTTAACGGCTTTTTTGGACATAGGGATCAAGTGTCACATCTTGATGTTCACAGTATAGAGATCAATATTATCATTTTTTTACTACTACTATTGCATTTAGACGACCAACCAAAGATGGAAAGAGAAACCAATCCCCAGCAGAGTCGCCAGAAATTTATGGGCTCTGAAAATTTGGCCCCGGCCTCCGCCGCACGTGTTTGATTTTTCTTTTCGACGATGGAGTTTTACGGATTAAGTTCTGGGGTAAATTTTGGAAGGTAGATGGGTTTGTATATAAGATACTACCTAAAGATTTTGCCCTCATTATGCGAGGACTTTATGATCTAAGTTCTGGTTTCCTATCAGCACAAGCCCCTATAGTTAATTACCCCTCCCAATAATAAGAGAGAACTTTCGATTAAGGCTAGTCGTCAATTAGATACATTATATCCATAGATATGTAGTATCAGACGTATAGTAGAAGCAATGGACATTTGGAATTTAGGAATTTAAGGTTTGGAAGATTTGGAGATTTGATATTTAAAATTGAATATTGCACCATCTTGCACTTAAAGCGAATGGTGGGGGAATGGATGATAGACATGATCAAGATCCCATGGTTCCGTCGTCTCGGGTCATCATGGTCCTTAGTCTACTTAGTCAGAGGAGGTAGTCGACCCAACCTGGCAGAAGGATCCTTATCGACAGCCATGGGTTGCTTCGTCCAAGGGTACCTTGTAGACCTGGGGTGAGTGTTTGTCTAAGGGAACAAATTTAAATCCACCTTAGCTAACAAAGGGCTTTTATGCCCTATCAATCATATCCTATTAATTCATATCTCAAGAATTTGATGCCACTAAGCAGTGTATTGGATCTTGCCATAATCGGTATTTCGTAGTGTCATTTGACGGCAAAACCACTCGGTTCAGAGGGCCCCGGGTCATAACTGCTTATCCTGCAGTGCTATTTGGCGATAAAACTGTCGGTTAGAGGACACGTACCGCGTCTTTAATGACATGAGATTATTTGAGAATGGATCCTAGTGATATTTTCGACTAGGGATTGGAGGTTGCAAATAGGTAGCTGGAGCTCGTAAAAAAAATGGGAAGATTTTGTCCGGCCTCCTCTTAATAGCTAGAATGGGATTTAATCAAAACGACTGCATTGCCAGTGTAGAACGACAGCGTTTCAGAAGGATTTCCGAAGAGTAGACGGTCGACAGCGGGATTTTGGGGATTTTCCTTCGACAGAACGACATAAAAATTAATTGAGATGAGATTTTTTTTGTTTGACTTCCCATTTTTTATAAGATCAATTGGCAATGTTAATAATGTCCTACCATAATTAGTAATAACATTAATTAGGTTGACAGCCATGTTCCAATCAATCTGAAAGCATTCCGATTTGCGTGTTTTCTCGATTCACGTGCATTTTGCCTTGTTTAACGTGTCAAATTAGCCGAACAATCAAAATTGGATGAATTAATAATGCATTTAGAATATTGTTGATGTTCCGGTTGCAATGACACAATCCGTTTGTCGATCCGACATCGTTTCGCCACCGACAAGGCTAATTTCATTGATATGCTTGTTTTGTCTTGAAATTCGTGTCACCACTCCGGATGATCCAAATTTAATATAGAAAATGTAGTTCTTAAGTATTTGCATTATTCTGATCCCAATGGATAAATCTGTTTCACGAACAGATCATTTGGACAACGACAAGGTTAATTTTTCTCGAAATTTGTGCTATTGCCTCGATATCCGTGCCTCCAATATGGATGCTTCAAATTGAATAAACATAATACAGTTTTCAGAGGTTGACAATGTTCCATACGCAACGATGAAGTTTGTTTGTCGATCCTTATCGACAGCAATGGGTGTCGGTCATCCCTTTTGACCGATCTCATCCGGTTCGACTGCGAGGGGCCCCGACATAGCAGAATTCGACGTCTTGATCACAATGATGTCATCCGTTTGGCAATCATAGGTCGTTTGACCCTTCAAGTGACGTGCGTCGCTGAGGCGCGTATCGCTTTATTCACCAGTTTGAGTCTTTTTTTGCATGGTTGAAGGTATAGGGGTCAACAGAATAATCACTAGTTTTATCAGAATTATATAACTATTCTCAAAACTATTGTATTAGTTTATCCATCTTGACCAAATTGTGCTCTGCATGTTCTGATTCTTTCCCTAAATTCTTTAGAATACAAAGTCATATTGATTGGATTTTATGTATCATATTAGGGTGCAGAGAATAAAAAAGCATACAATTCACGTATGCCAAAGAAGCATACAATTCATGTATGTCACTAGTTTTTCTTACAGCAAGTTAAATCTTCTGTTTCCCCTTTTGTTGTAAATCCCGGATTTACTAAATTCGGGAGTTCAGCAAATTTATTGGATTTGGATGAAGAAGCGTGCGAAAGGAAGAATAATCGATACCTTCACAACAATCAATCTCCCGTTGTCTTTATTCCATATAATCCAATAAAAGAACGATGAGGATGTGTGACTTTGGACGCGACATGAAGGAACATGATCATCAAAGGAGGCGAAGGAGTTATTTAGCGACTTGTTCAAAATAACTCTCAAAATTCAAATAGCAATGAATAGCGGAGAACAACCGAAGAACACCCCTAGCGGCGGAGGAGGCAAAGTCGAAGAGCAAAGCAAAAAGAAGAAAGGACAGATGAGAAAATCGAAGAATTGAACGTGCAAATGAAATGAATCATAACCAATCCATTAGTAGGTTAACTACTCCGGCCCAACACCGCATGTTGAATTTAGAATTACTATAGAACAGAGGCTCCAATGCTGTCGCAGCGATTTCTGGCTACGCTGTGTTCTCAAGCATAACACTGCAATGCTACCAAGCATAGTGACAAAGCGCTCTAAATCAAACAGAATAAAAAAATGTATTGCCGTGTCCGCGCCGTACCCGTGTCCTATATTTTCAAAAAAAGCCGTGTCCCGTGTCCGTGTCGTGTCGTGTCCGTGTCACTGTGTCCGTGTCCGTGCATCATAGCTTACAAATCTAGAGAAAATCCAAAAAAAACTATTAGACAGTCCAATTGATTTTCTATATCATTAAGCATTCATTCAACATTTAAATTCCTTGATGTTTTTGAAATTAAGAGATATTGGGCTCCTTAGATTCATCTCATCAAAATGCTCGATTTGACAATTAGCTTTACAAATTTGAAGATTGTTTAGTCCTCAAAATAATATTCTAAAGTTTTCAACTATACTTCAAGCTCAAGAGCTAGGGTTATTTGGGGTTGGATTGGATCCTTTTGTATGTCATGTTTATTTCGTCAAGCTGATCATTTAGAAAAAAATAATATACATTCACTGTCCGGTGTGTGTCTATATATATATATATATATATATATATTACATTAGCTGACACCCACATAATATCAACGAATTTACGAATGACCAAAGTACACAGTTCATTTTGGTCAGTTGGTTGGGAGCTTTGACTACCAATCAAGAAGTGTTGGATTCGAGCCTTATATATATGATTTGTGTATGAATTTGTCTTAATTGGCCTAAATGTCCCCAAAAAAACAAATGACCAAAGAAATTTGTTGAAGTACTCATAAGCGAAATTGCATGCCCTATTAAATATACATGAAAAAGCAGTGTGCTAAGTAAACTTTATTGGCATAACATTCGAAGCTATATTCTCGATAAATATGATTAGGCCAGCTGAATAGCTCAAAGCATGCATTCATCCATTTTATTCCTGAGACCATATTGACTGGGGAGCGTCAATTGAAATAAAAAATCTTTTACAGCAATTCCTAGAATATATTTCAGCGTTTGCTAAAGTTGGAAACCACCGGACTGTTTGGTTACAGTAAGCAACATTAATCTGCGTACTCCATTAATTACATCAAAGATAAATACAATACTCATGCTTTTTTTAATTGTTTTGCTTCGATGTATAGTTCATCAACCAGGTCCTGCAAGAATTATCCACCACTCTCGTGTATCAGTAATGTTACTAATTATATCGGGTAAAAGCAAAACAATTAAGGAGTACAGAATTGTCATTCATAGCGATCGATGATTAATGACCTTGTAGTATTTGAGCAACTGAACTCTTTTCAACTTAAAGGTTGGAGTAATTAGGTCTCTTTCAATGTCAAATGGCTTTGGTTCTAAATGTACTGCTTTCAGTAGCTCAAAACCTTTCAACTGTGTTATAAGTCAATACTAAACTGATCATGATCTGTTAATGAATTTTCCATGAAACAAATGATCGAAATTAGTTAACGACTGCATACTTACTTGCTGCCTTTTACCAGTGTTATTTAACTCGTTAAGGATATGCTTTCTTGCTTTTTGATGCTTACATAAGTCCTCAAAGCTGCCTGCATAAACTTGATTACTTTCTGCCCATTCCTCCAATGCCTTCTGCTCTGGAATAGCAACGGCAACAAGAAATGACTCGAAACTGCTCCCGTAAACCCATATCTACTTGTCAACAAAATTCAAGCACGTATGATCAGTAACATTTACATATGTATACTACTTATTAGTAGCTGTTTCGTTACATACTGATGCGACAAGAGGGCATTGGCAATATGCACTTTCAATGATTTCAACAGAAACGTATTCTCCTTGTGACAGTTTAAAGATGTTCTTTTTCCTATCAATTATCTTCATTGCACCATTGGGTTGCCATTCTCCTATGTCACCTGCAAGCACGAGGTTAAGGGTTAATATAATATAATTTATTGTCAATCAAAACATCAAATAAAATTTAATTTACCTGTATGAAACCATCCGTTTACAATTGCTTCATTTGTAAGGTCCTGGCGCTTGTGATAACCAGAGAAGAGTGTTGTGCCCCTTAAACAAATCTCTCCACGAGGTGTATCAGAAAGAGCGTCGTAACCCATCTCTGGTACTGATTCCAGTCTAGCCTCTATTGTGGGGACTGGAACACCAACAGACCCTATCATTGGGAAAACATTGGCTATTGATGTGAAACAACCAGCACAGCTTTCTGTAAGACCTGAGTCCGACAATCAACGCATGAATCCAACATTCATTTTCCACGCTATATATATTGTACGTTCTCAAACAATATAAATGCAAGTTCAACATGATTACCATATCCTTGCAAAAAAACACTGCAGCTTGTGACCCTGAAGAATTCCTCAACATGCTTAGGAACTGGTGCAGCTCCTGATAGCATCAAGCGTATACGACCTCCAAGTCCTTGTTTGATCTTCAGGTCATATATATATTAACACATGAAAACTTTGATTACTATACTAATTAGAAGATATAGAGATAGTTAATACTGACTTTATTGAAGATAAGCTTGTCAAAGAAAGGTGAGGCCTGGTCCTGTTTGAACCCATCCTTTAAATTTTTCAACTTGCTGAGTTGAACATATTTATAGGAGGCACAAAACAAATCGTTTATCTGATGTTAGTAGAAGCTGGTGCACGACAATAGGTAACAATTGAGAACAAGTGCTAATGAACTGACTTACTGTTGATAAGCATATTCAAATATTTTTTTTGCTAATATTCCTCCAGATTGAATCTTTTGATTGATGCCTTCATTTCAAAGAAACACCCACCATTATATGAGGTAGCTGCAGAGCTCTTGTTACCAGGTAAAAAATAAATAGATCCAAAGTATATATATATATGTATGTATGTATATACTCATCATGTTGGGGAGAACCTGTGTAGATTCGGTCGAAAACCCTTGGCACACCACAAAACAATGTGGGCTTTAGCTCCTTAATGTCATCCATCAGAAGTCGAACATCCTAATAGTTAAATTTAAAATTAAGGCTCCAATTGACTTCTTTATTTTGTAGATTAAGAAAAAGGACAAACTAGTAACCATCATATATACCCCTTGCCAAAATCCGATTGAGGCGCCCTTATAGATACAATAGTTTTCCACTATCTGATCAAAAACATGGGCTAGCGGGAGAAATGATAGGTATGAGTCTTCTTCACTCAGCTACATAAACAAGTACATGTAAATAAAGGAGTTGCTCACGTAGTAAAATTTTACGATTAGTAAGAGAATTAAAAAAAATGCAAATTAGAAGTGCTTAAAAGAAGCTAAAGGTAGATTTGGATAGAAGGAAAGAAACTGCTTAAAACAATAGAAACAATTAAACTAATCGGCCACAAAAAATATCTTGATTAAGCTATACAAGATTGTTGGGAACGATGGCCTCACCGCTTTATCAGTCTCTAAAAGTAGATAATCTATGCTAAGAACTTGAGTCACAATAACTTTGTTGGACAAAACCACTCCTTTCGGTTCTCCAGTAGTTCCACTAGTATACATAATTGTGCAAATGTCATCCTTGGATTTTGATGGAAGTTCACAGCTCTGATCATATTCCTGAAACAGAAAGCTAGCTAGCATATTGCCATGGCATTTGTGCACAAATTGTGATAGTTATTTATATTCATTTTCATATGAAAAAATTGATCATGATCAAGGCAGATAAAGTAAATATCAACTTTGCACGTACAAACATGAAGAATTGAATATAACCTAGGCTCTAGACTTATTTGCGTTGTCTATCTTATGCACACTAATAAACCATGTTGGAATGAGAGCACTTTTAGAACTAGAAAATATTTTTCTATAGAAATAAATTAAAGAACTAGAAAAAGTTGAGAAAAAATAATATAAAAACGGCTACTTGGACTAAGAAGAAGATTACAGAAGATAAAAATGACTACTTATTTTATTTCTTACTTGATACAAACTTGCGACAATACATTTCAATCTAATGATTACAAATAACTCTCTAGAAAATTCTTCTATCATAAAAGACATTAAATATTATTTTTGAATTTTCTAAGAATTATTCTAGAATAGGTTTCTAGCATATTAATTCTTTATAATATTATTCTAGAATATGAGCTCTATTTAGACAACAAAAGCCTAAATAGTGAGCCAAAACTAAGTTTAACTTCTAACACTCTCTCTTAAACATAATTTTACAACTCCAAGTAAATTTTTTATCTTGATAGAATCTTCATACTTAAAAGGCTTGGTGAAATATCATCAATTTGGCCTTGTGACTTCATATACGCCACTTGCAATTCATTTCTTGTCACGAATTCTCTGATATGGGGATAACATGTATCAATGTGCTCAAGTCTATCATAAAAAACTTAAATTTTTGCTAGTGCTATTGCTAACTTATTATCAATATGAATTTTTGCTATTTTTTTTCTTATGGTAAGCATAATTATTTTAACAAATTTTGAAGCCAATTTGTGTGACAAACATATGAGGTTATAGCTACGTACTCTGTTTTGCAGGTACATAATATGACAATTGATTGTTTCTTTAACATCCAAATAAAAGTAGTCTCCCATTAAGAACACATAACCAATGGTACTCTTTCTATCATTCATTTCTCTAACCCAATCACTATTTATATACCATACAAGATTGAAATCGTTAGATGAGGAGTAAAGTAAGCCAATATTAAATATATTGTTAATATAATGTAGAATTCTTTTAGTGGTCATTATGTAAGTGGTAGTTGGAGTCTCCATATAGCAACTGATTATTAGTTCTGTGTGAAATTTGATTGTATCGATCAATCGGGTTATATCGTTGACTCAAACCTCAATTTAATTGGTCGAGCTCGTCAGAGGTTACAAGTGAGCCTCGCCCTACTTTGAGTTTGAGGGTCTCCCATGCAATGTTGTACACTCGAGCGTGTGGGCTCCAAAAATTCAGCCTCGGCCTCCCCGTTGCTTTACGCGGGAGTCTTAACATATTAAGTTCTGGGATAAATTTTGGGATGGTAGATTAGGTTTGTAGATAAGACACTACCCAAAGATTTCACCCTCATTTTGCGAAGACTTTATGACCTGAATTTTGGTTTCCTATAGGCGCAAGCTTCTATAGTTAATTACCCCTCCCGATAACAAGAGAGGAACTTTTGATTAACTGGTCATCAATCAGATACATAAAGAATACGTGTATCTGGCACATGGTAACAGCATGAGTTTAGGTGTTTAATAATTAAAATATAGAAATTTCACCATCTTGCACTTAAAGGGATTGGTGGGGGGAGCGATGATGAACCCAATCAAGATCCCATGGTTCTATTGTCCCGAGCCATTGTGGTCCCTAGTTTACTTAGTCAAAGGAGATAGTCGACCCAGCCTAACAAAAGGATCCTTGTCAATAGTCATGGGTTGTGTCGTCCAAGGGAACCTTGTAGACTTGGGGTGGATGTTTGTTTAAGGGGATAAATTTAAATCCACCTTAGCTAACAAAGGGCTTTGTGCCCTATCAATTATATCCTATTAATTCATATCTCAAGGACTTGATGCCATTGGGGAGCATACGAGCTTTGGTCATAATCGTAATTTAATGGTGACATTTGGTGGCAAACAAACCCGGTTCAGAGGGCCCCAGTCATAACCATTTACCTACAGCTCCATTTGATGGCAAAACTGTCGGTTAGAGGACACATGACACGTCCTTACTAGCAAGAGACTATTTGAGAATGAATCCTAGTGATATTCTCGACCAAACATTAACTCTTTGTGAGCTGAGATGTATTTTCAAATTTGTTCACCTCAAAAAACTACTATGGAGATTGGATGGGTTTTGCTTTAAGTGTTTGATAGTTTATTTCAATTTTAAAATTTTTTTAATTTTGGATGATTTTTGGAAATTTGGATTTTGTGGGATTTTGAATGTTTGATGGGTATTTGGAAGCATTTTGAATGTTTGGAGTATTTGGAATTAACCTCTTCGGTTTAAATATACATTCAACGCAACCATCATCGGGGTGTATGGGGTTATTGTATTTTATTTGTTGGACCTTATCGACTTTGCCAACAGAGGATCAGGTTCTTCATTGACTTAGATTTTATTAATGAATTTCTCTGTTCATAGGCCTTGAAGACCTAATATGAACGTATAAAGAAAATGCCACGATCGCGGCATCGATACATTCTTTTGATAGTTCGAATCGTGTCGACTCCTATTTACCAGCATAAGAGGATTGGGTTTGAATTTAAGTTTACTTATTGACCCGCTCAGCATCTTTAGACGTCACATGTGTGAATACATCACTCTTACCGGGGCCCATACGGATTTTATGATTGCACTTGCCCCTTTTGTGTACCTATGTGCATACATATTACAGTGCACGTGTGGGAAGAATTTCGAATATATGATGGGTCTTCTACAATAACTTGTAGAAGCCTGTGTTCATTATAATGCTTATGTATTTATCCATAGGTGGTATGAAAGCCTCAATAATCTTATTAACTAAGTGTTTTGAGTCTGGTCGAACTGAGACTCACTCACTCCATCCCCGAAAATAATGATTTGACCTGATTTTCTCCTCCCAGAACTCGTATAGGATAAATATGATGGCTGGCAAGTATTATAGACTCAGCAGAGAATGTGAAGTAAAAATGCATTGCTACAAAACTTATAGCAAAATATAGTTTCTAAGGTCATTGGGCCGATGACTCATGCTACCAGAAACTGAACCTAAGAACTTTTTGTTGACTATATTTGAGCACCGTATCATTACTTGAAAGTAAACTAGCATAGCGTTGGTTATTAGATTATTAATTTGGGTGACTGACTATCAAAACTTGAGTTATAATTTAATAAATTGTATATACGAACAAAAGAAATGAGATGGAATACATTGAAGAACACGCGTATGTGAAAAATGATGATGCTAGAAAATTATGTGCCTTTTCGAATTTGAACCTCACCAATGAGATAAAATCATTCCACGAAAAACAGCTTACTCCAACTTTTTCGGCTTCCTTCTTCTGTTCGCCAGTAACGATACCAAAACTTACAATCGCTGTCAATTAAAAACATTTTTTTTACCTCCATATTATGTAGTTGAATATATACAAATGTAATAGATTGATTACAAACGATTTTCTTTTTGACATACTTCTGAGAAAAGTAGAACAGCTTGGAAGGCACTTCAAGATCTGTGAAGATTTAAATATAAGAGCATTCACTCTAATGAGGTTCAACAAGTAAGCAGATATTCTACCATAAGGTGGTAAATAAGTTAAGCTTACATATGGTATCTTCTTTTGTTGAACAAAAGCAATTGAAACTTCTGCATGGTTGAGTATGAATTCTATTGCATCAGAACCTGCACCACACAAAATTTCAAATAATCAATTTTTTTCTAAATGAATACCAAGCATGTTGATGCCAAATACCTAAAAGGTGCTGATTATTCTTAGCTGTAACATTTGAGATTTGAGATTCTCTATTTTGGTAAACAACTAGGAGAAGCTTCTCATAAGAGGCATCAAATCATGCAACAAAGCTGGTGGAGCTCATCCACACTGATATTTAGGCTGCCATAACTCCAGCAACATTTTGGAGTAAACATTATTATTTGTATTTATATTCATGATTATAACATGAAAGCTGAGTTTATCTTTTGTGGACTCCAAAAATTCGCTCCCCGGCCTCTCCGCGGCCCCTTTCTTTTCTTTTGGTCGTTGAGGACAGTTTTAACAAGTATGTTCCGAGGCAAATTTTCAGAAGACAAATTGGGTTGTGAATAAGACATCACCCAGAGATTTCACCCTCATTTTGAAAGGACTTTATGATCTAAGTTCAGCTTTCCTATAGGAGCAAGCCCTTATAGTTAATTACCCATCCCGATAGCAAGAGAGAACTTCTGATTAAGGCTACTCGTCAAACATATACAAAATATCTGGCATATAGTAGCAACATGATTTGGTATTTGGCAATTTAGTATTTAAAATTAGAAATCTACCACCTCGCACAAAAAAGTAGATGGTGAGGGGAGTGATGAAAGACCCGATCAAGATCTCATGGTTCTGTCATCCCGAGCCATCATGGTCCCTGGTCTACTTAGTTAGAGGAGATAGTCGACCCAACCTGACAGAAAGATCCTTATCAAAAGCCATCACTACAGGAAAATCTTCTATTAATGTCAGACTTTCCGACAGATTTACATGCGTCGGAAAAAGTGGCATACTAACCGGAGGATATTTCAACGGTAAAGTTACGGTGGAATATCCAACGTATTTACCGTCGATAATTTACCAGCGCTTATTCCGCCGGCCAATTCTCTGGTATATATTATATTCCGGCTCTTTTTTCCGTTAGAAATTATCGGCGAAATCACTGTTGTAAATTGCGCCGGCTTATTCAAACTTGATGAAAACCCTATTTCGCCATCTGTCGTCTTTCTTCTCATTTTTTTTCCTCTTCATTTCAGTTTGCTTTGCTCGCATCAGAGACCTGGGCTGAATGTTGCCGCCATCCAAACTAGTCCGTTGCTGACGTTCGTCGTTGACCTTTCCCACATTCGTTGCCATCCTTGCTAAAGTTTGCTGCCTCTTTTGCTGATGTTCGCCACCGAATGCCATAAGTTTTTCTTTTTTTCATGGATGTTCTCAGTAGACATTTGCAAGAAATTGTAACATGGTGTATGCATTTTGTTCATGATATTCTTCGTGTTGATGAGTCTAGAGAGGGAGTTGATGTGTATATTTTTAGTTGAGATTAGAATGCTCTTATGGAATGAGATTAGAAAGAGCGAGAGTGAGAGATGTGTATATTATTAGTTTAGATTAGAATGTCAGAGATTAGAATGCTCTTATGGAATTTACTCTTATAGATATGATATGAAATGAGCATATACGTTAAATTGTTATAGTAGCTCTTATGGAATATAATATTACAGAGAGCGAGAGATTTGCCTTAGATGGTTTGCAGAGATTAGAATGTTTATGAGTGGCTAGCTTTACTCTTAGGGACAAGATATGAAATAAGCATATATGCAAAAATGTTGGAGAAGCTCTTATGAAAGATAAGATTAGAGAGATAGATTTTCCTTAGATGGTATTATCACGTGAACTACATTTTTACACGTCAAGAAAATTGTAAATATGTTGGAAATATCTCCAGTGCAAACTACATTTTCATACAGGTACCCCCTTGAAGACCTATACAAACCTTTCTTGGTGTGATAAAATTAAAAACCACAACCGCAATGTCACTTGATACCAACCGTATACATCTTTTTTGACGTTGTGGGCAAGATAAGACTCTTTATATTTCCCCTAAACGAGGGAGATGCCGGGAGGCTGCCAGATTTTTCATTAACAAGGGACCTCTGTAAAACAACACTATTTAATTTGCAAATAAATTAAAATCAATCTATATTTCTTCAATAGATGTTACAACAATATATAATATATTCATATTATATATAGGTTATATTATGGATATCAGAAATCAAAGAAGTTGGATGTATAACCGATTAATGCAAGGACGAAAGACATTAACATATGAGTTCATTAAAGGGGTAAATTTTATCATTAAAATAGCTTCTCAACTGCCGAGCTTCATCTCAGATGGAAATTTTTTATGCTCATATTATAAACATAAAAATCAAGTGCACCTATGCCTAGATGATGTAATTATTGATCTATACAATATGGGTTCATGCTAGAATATTAGTATTGGACTTCTTATGGTGAGTATGAGCTACATTTCAATTCTCGATATGGCCCGTCTGTAAGTTCTAATATAGCTGAGGAAGAAAATATTCGACCCGATCATGAGAACTTAGTTCTTGATACAACTGGAGCACAATTTGAACAATATATAGAAGAGTCACCTAATAAGGAGGCACAAATTTTTTTTTATTTGTTACATTCTTCTCAACAACAAATATGGAAAGGATGCACCACTCACTCAAAGTTATCCTTTGTTGTAAATATATTAAGCATCAAGGCATAATATAATATCACATGTACGGTTGCAAGCGAACCAAACGTTTGACGAGCTACTCGTTGCTCGATTCGATTAAAGCTCGTTGTGATCATTTAACTAACTAAACAAATAAACTTAAACAATATTTTAAATATTTGATCCTTAAATAAACAAACTCGATAAAATTTTGATTAATATTTAATTATAAAATTGATAAATATAAATAATATAAATATTTTTAATTTATTATAACATAATGAATTTGTTCATAAACAAGAGACATCTTACATTTATCATGTTTGCTAGATTATTTATTTAAGATGTTTGTGAATAAATTTAAGGTTTATTTTTTCAATAGATTATTTGCTAAATATGTTCATGAACATAGCTCGTTAATATTTGTTCGTTTAAAGCTCGATAAGCACTAAACAAATTGAACATGAACCAAACATGAACACTGATAAATTAAACCAACCAAACATGAACACAAATAATAAAGCTCGAATAAAACATGAATCGAACTTGATTAAGGTAATAATAAATGAACTCAAATATGAACACTCACATACTCGGCTCGGCTTGGTTCGTTTGCAGCCCTAGTCCCCTGTAAATATTTTAATCAATTTATTGGCCTGCTTAAGAAAATTAACCCGATAAATAATATAACTCCTATAGATTTATATCATACTTAAAAATTTGTTTTCAAACTTGTTTTGATATATATAAAGATAAATTATTATGTCAATGGATGTATGTTATACTATAAAGATATTAATAAGAGATTGCATGCCGTTACTATAATGCACCAAGATTTAAACCAAAATTTGTGATAAAAAGAAAGCTGAAGGAAGTACGTACCAGTCAGTAGGATGTTTTACTTAACCATAATTCCTAAACTACAACGGTTATATGCATCCATGATATTTGTTGAACATATGAGATGACATAATAAAGATATCTCACAAGAAGGTATTATTACACATCTGTCATAAACAGAGATTTGGAAATACTTTGATCGTACACATCCCACCTTCGCCATAGAATCAAGAAATATAATATTAGGTTTATGTGCAAACGGTTTTACTCCATTTAGCCAGTTTGCTTCACCTTACTCATGCTAGGCGCCCTAATATTCACCATGTATAATCTTCTCTCAGAGTTGTGTATGACCACTCCTTACATGTTTATGATGCTTATCATTCTAAAGCCACATAATCCAAAAGTAAAGATCAATGTATTCATACAACGGTTAACTTATGATTTAAATTTATTATAGGAAGAGGGATTAAGTACATATGATATCTACACCAAATAAAACTTTATAATGAGGGCATCATTACTTTAGACAATTGGTGAGTACGGAATGCTCTCAGGTTGGAACACTTCGATAAGTTAGCTTGTCCATATTATATGGAATATACAAATTCATCCACTTTAAAGCATGGAGGAAAGAACACTCGGTTCGATTCTCACCTCGGTTCGATTCTCACCGCATGTTCTTACATATAAGTCATCCTTATAGACAAAATAGGATGCCTTTACTAAAAATAAAATCGTGATGTCACAGCCTCCTCCTAGATTAACCAGGGAAGGTGGAAGTGATTTTATAAGGGCTTCTCCGCCTAGCTGTGGGGGCAAAAGGAGAGACACTGAGTTTTGTGCAATACTCGGAGGGTGCCTCCGAATAGTGGACATAGGTCAAGGTTTAACCGAACCACTATAAATCTGGTGTGTTCTTTCATTTCTTATTTCTGCATTTAATTTTCGCATTGTATTTTCTTTGTGGTGGATTTTGTGTTGACTTTTTTATTGCAAAAGATTTTTTAAAATACCTATTCACTTCTCTCTTAATTAGCCTTGGGCTAGTTCATAAGGGCCTAACATCCCTAAAAAACTTTCAGCATATTGTAACATATACTTTGCAAGCAATAATACATAGGCATCTAGTACATTCATATATTAGGTGAGGATATTTGTAACATGTTTACTCATCTCTAACTATACGCAATCATGATATGCTTGTGTCATAAACTTGTATATGCGTAGCCAATTTTACATGTATATGTACAGTGCATTTTGTAATTATAGTACGTATATGCATGATTTATTTTACTCGTTGAATGGTGTATTTGCATGATGCATCCTACCTATTTCAAATGCATACATGCATGCAAATGTATCATCATACAGTTTGATGTATGGGGGGTTGCATTTGCAATGTTCAAATATGATCAACTGTGTGACTGACTATTGTCGATGAGCATGCATGATTTCATTTTGGAAATTACAAATGCATTATGTCTGCTTGTATGAGTATTTTGAATCTGATGATGTTGTTTAACAGTGCACTAGTTTTCATTTGTCATGCATTAGTAGTGTAGTCTAGCTTGT